ATATATATATGTTTATTTATTTATATAATATCATATGCCCATGATTCGATCCCCAATGCTGTCACTTCGAAAGTTGAGCATTTCATATAGAAGACACTGTGTTTTTGCTCCTATGTGGCAACCTGTGGAGAGGGGTTCTCTAGGGGGATTTATGATGATACATGGATCCTTTTTGGAAGTGGCTCATCTTCATTTTGTCGAAGCTGAATGGCCGCGCCGAACAACTCAGTTCTGGCTATCCAACTCAAAACATGTTACATTCTTACATTCGTTCTCAGAACATTTCCTGTTGCTTACACTTGTGCTGTCACTAGCTGTGCAGAAACGGAGAAGGCTTCATGCTTCGAACCTCACGGCTTCTTCAAATCCCATGGCTTCATCAACGGGGTACCTTTCTAGCAAAGGTGAAGCTGCTGAAGAGAGAGCAAGAAGTGCATCTTCGGCCAGCAAAGATACAGTGACAGAGGCTGCGTAGACTCCGCGCCCGCATTCGCTTCTGCAAAAAGAATGTGCGCTGGTGGAATTTCAGTGTCTCATTCGCGATGGTGGTCCCTTTCTCATGCTGGGAATTGTTGCAAAGCCCTGGACCACAAACGGGCAGGTCACCAACCTCGGTCGTCACACTGGTCGATGGCGTGGTCGGCGCAAACCCGGCTGTGTGTTTCTCCGGGCGTTACAGCTTTCACCTGAAATTTTGAAGATGTCGATTGCTGACCGGTACGATAGCCGTGTACAGACACTGCACGCCTTGCCTTGTGTGTAGTTCGTGACAGAGGCTCTTGTGGGCTCAAGCGGCGTCCATGCCACACCTTTGGAGCCTCCAGCTGTTGAGGCGACCTTGAGCCTGCAATAGCGGCAACATAGTCTAAGTACCACTACGCGTTAGATATGCAGATAAGCAGATAAGACTGAAGTGGACACATATGTATGTGCGTGCACACCAACACGTGTATGTATCACACCCGATTATTGGTAGCTTTAATGATCGAAGCATACCGTCCACATCATGTTTCATAGAAGTGACAATGAAGCAACAGCAGGATAACGTAAAATCGAACTTTCAGGACCTGAAGCTGCCTTATATGTTTTCCCTCTAATCATCCTCGGCATCGGGAAGTTGCAACACTTAGCTTCATCAGCTCTTGTCCTGAAATGAGCTCAGGGTTACCCTTGGATAACCGTCTGGCTTGTCCCTGGGGGCACTTCCCTGGCTTTGTCATGTCTACCCGTACTGCGACATGTGCTGAGATGTATTGCTGTATTGCCTTCGCCCTAGGCCCTAGACCTCGCCTGAGGCTTGCGAGTTGCAAGTGGTAAGAAATTGAAATGAACTCAGCGAGGATCTCATGTGGTTTGGGCAGCTGCTGAGATCATGGGCGATACTGCAGGCAGGTGCCCGGCTCGTGAGGCATTGTTGCTCCGCTGATGTCTCGGCCCGTCAAGCATCTGACAGTGGGCTTTCGAAGCCACATTTGGAGTCGATCACCTTGCCGGAAAATTTGGCAAAGCCCCCTGTGCAGAGGTGTTGAGTAGAGCTGCAGATCTAGAAGACGAGGACCTGCAGCGTGAACATATCTACCCGTGAAGCTTCCACTCAGTGGGTGTTGGGAAAGTTGGGATCAGGATCTCCGTGCTTCACTGTGCCAATTTAACTGTGTGCCTGTTGCACTGAAAATGTCAAAGGAACTTATGCGACGCACAGTACCCCAAATTCTCGTGAGAAGCCTTAGCAGCACAAAGGCAAGACGAAGTATCTGGCTACTGTGACACCAATATGGACTACATCGAACTAGTCCACTCCTCACTGGTCCCGTTGCCGCTGAAGCTGACACTGATGATGAAAACGCAGATTGTCGTTGATGCTGCTGCTGATTATCATGCTCGTGCTGTAAATGCTGGTGTCCGTGACAGAGGAGAGAGAGACATCATCGAGAAACTTTCCCGACTGCGCCTTACAGAGATGGCAAGGACGACGCGCTCATCGTCTACGATGGAAGCGCCGTAGCCGGCGAGGCGCAGTGCACTGCGCCACCAGGCCCTGTGCTGGTGAAGGACAGTGAGCTGAGAGTCGTCCTTGTTTAGAATGTACACTGAATAGTGTCTGAGATCTCATGTAGAACACACGCACGTTGCTTGATATTTCCTTAAGTTTGCAATGCAAGAGTTCTACTTTACAACATATAGTAAGTATGCATATATTTATACACATACATATAGGTATATATTATATATATATATATGTATATATATATATGTATATATGTGCACATACATATACATACATACATGTATGTGTGTATAAAGTTGTGCATATATATATATATATAGAGCTAGATTTATGCACATACATTTACACATGCATATGCACGACTCCTTTGCAGAAGACCTCCCATAGCTTTCGGTCGTGTCTTGGCAGCCGTGATGGCCGTTAAGGGTTCAGGGTTGGGGTATAGGGCATAGGGTTGGGGGGAACCTGGCCGGGCCAGCTCCAAGCAAGCATGTGTAAAAGGGTAGAGGTTTAAAACAGGGCTCAGGTTTCCAACAACAACTTGACATTCCGAACCGGACAGGGCGAGGTCACCTCGACATCCACAGCTCGACTGCTTGATGCCCTGTAGGATCTCGTTGAGGAGATCGGGCACGATGTTGGCGAGGAGGCCTTCCACGAGTGTTGCCATGATTCGACATTACCATCGTTTACGAAATCCATCCGTTCCAGCAGCCACCTACAGCTTGCCTCTGCGGCAGCGCTCGTGGCAGAGATCGATCACTGAGGTCGTTTTGCGAACCCTCAACGCTCTAGAAGCAGAAGGTGTGGTCGTTGCCTCAGGCAGTCACTGAGCTTGTTGTAGTTGTTCATGAGTATTTGGCATCTGGGCCGATGCGTATTGCAGTTGGGACACATTGCTGTCCGCAGCGACAGGAGCAATGCACAGGCTGTGAAGAAGAAAGCTATGAACGAAGCCTCCGAAACGAAAGCAACACATTTCTGATGATCCTCGCCGCCTAACCACCCTGCCTTGCGGGCTTGCGAAGTAGCCGGAAGAAATCAAGAAATGTGTCATCCGCAAGTCCACAAGAAGATCCACATGGGGATATGGTATCAGATCCCACCGGGTCAGACTGCGAAACGCCGTCACTCCCAGGTCCAAACCCGACAGCTCCTGCAGCTATACCCACAGGACTTCGATGCAGCCTCGCGGCTGCTGGTCACGGGTTGAGGGATTCGGATCTTGGGGCGATTCAGGGGTGGTTAGGAGCGCTTAAGTTTAGCCGTTTGCCAAGGAAAGCATCTCAGCTCGGTGCAGCCCAGGTGGTCATGCCACTTCTTCTCAAGAGCAGGCCAGGGTTGTTGGACGCGCGTGGTGGGTGGGGGAATTCTCGGGCTTTTTTGTGTTTGGTTGTGTGCGAGCTGCAGGTTACGAAGAGTTCGCGAACGGGGTGGGCGAATTCCCGAGGCCGGGGCGGGGCTAGATAGGGTCTTCGCTGTGGGGTTGTTTATTTGGTGTTTAGTTTAGGGTTTGGTTCGGTTCGGATTATCTCTCCCTTCTGTAAGGACTTGATCGGCCACAAGAAGCCCAAGGCAGGATGCGGGCAGCATTTTGCATGGTGCAGCAAGAAGTTACAACCTCGACTGCAGCAACTCCATTTCCTTGTATATCGTCGTCGTTCTAGTTCTATATTTATATAGTTATATATATACATATATATTTATATATATACATATACAATATAATATACACGTATAAAGTACAGATACACATATATACATACATATATATATATATATACACAGGTATGTATATATATATATATATATATGGATATAAATCTAAAAAACAAATAAACAAATAAACAAATGAATAAATAAATAAATAAATATATATATATATATACACATACAAACAAAAGGAAATTTGTTTTTTGGTCGAGATTTCAGAGCCTTGTGTCCCTAAATCCCGAGACACCGGCTAGGCAGGTGCACGCGAAGACCCTCAGTCCAAAACCCCGCGTCATCCCGTGGCTGTCTGTGGAAGTCAGGAAGATGCGGAGGAAAGCCTGGGCCTCATAGCATCCACCAGAGATTTCGATTGAACCTTTCTGTAGCAACCATCCTGGCCTTCGGCTAGAGTAAGGGAAGAGCCGAGGTGAGGAGCCGGCGGAAGACCAGGCAGCAGATGATGATAACGCAACTGTGCAGCATGCAGGGCTGATCCAGTGGCTTAAAACCACGTTGCATACTGTCTTCTAAGACTAAGATCCTGTGATCTTCTAAGACTAAGATCCTGTGATCTGCGGACGCCGACCGCCTCCTTTCCGTCTTCATGGTACCTGCCGCGGCAGATCCTGGCAGCTCTGAAAGCGTCAGTGTAGGTAGATGGCTGAAATGCAAGCCAGCTCCTACTCCGCATGATTCTGCGTTGAAGAGTTGAAGAGGGCCTGAAACCGTACCCCTGCATCGTTTCTTAGAAAGTCAATCATCTGTATTTCCTGATCGACACTGCGGTTTGTGGGTGTTGCAATCGAAATTCCTCTCGAGCCTTCAGAAGTAGCTAGCCCGAAATTCCAAAATCCTGCGGTGTTTGCCGCGGCTTGCGATGCGGAGCCAAAAATCCTAAACCCTGGCTCGTGCAATGCGGCTTGGCTTAGAGTCAGCGAGCACTTGAGCTCGCCAGACGCGTAAAAAACTTCGCAGCCACTGGCTGCTGCCTTAGGCAAGCGCAATCAAAATCAAGCTGCTTCAGGCTTTCCGGAGTCCCGCCATCTGAAGATGGACGTGTTAAGGCTTTGAATATGGAGCAGATCGCATAATGATCTCCTGGGCATTGCTGTCGCGCATGCTTAAGAGTTGCTGTAGGATGGGGCTTTGACTTCCTTGCTTGGCGCAGTGTGCTTTGCTCAGTGCTTTCCCTTGCAGGTTGGGCGCCCATTTTTGTAAGCAGCGGGGTGGTGGTAGCAAAGATGATCTTGCGGAGAGGGGGTTTTCGCAAGTGCCTGCATGGTTTCGCAAACGGGTGAGTCGCTTCTGCCAGGTGCTACAGATAAAGCCACGATCCCGGACAGACCAGGTGCAGCCAGCGGGAGGGAATTCCAGTGGCGAGTCGCAGGATCCAGAGCGAAGGCATGCAAGAAGCTTGCAGTAGAGCTCATGCGGGCTCGCAAACGTCCACTGTCCGCCACGCGGCCAAGGCTCTACTCTCGATGCAAGGGCTTCAAACTTCAAAGAGAAATCATGCGCCGTACCTTTTGTAAAAAAGGTGTATCAAGCTTTGGAAGTGGCTTAGCCAGGATGCGGAAGGTGCATCGCAATGGCCCGCTGCTCTGCGCGGTGCTGCTGGGCATCTTCGCCTGGCGCCGGAGCTCCCAGGCTTCGGGCTCCGACTCGGAGCCCCGAACCGACTGGGCCCTGAGCCTCTCGAGCCAGGAGGTGGAGGCCCCGCTCCCCAAAGCCATCTTGGTCCATCCGGACAGGGG